GCCCTGATAAAAAGCTCTCCTGTGACGCAGTATTTAATCGGGATCTGCCATTATGAGACAGACTATGTTGAAGATTGATAGTCAGAGGGGGAGACGAGCCATTGCTCTGTTATCATGATTGTATTCTAAGTTCGACTTGGCAAATCCTTCCCCTGGAAAGGCTGATTTATGGTGCAACCTGTCTGGGAAAATTAATGAGCAAACGCCTAGATTCTATTTCATCGGAACTGAGAAAAGATGGCGTCTGCCACCCGAGGAGGATTTTTGGATGGATTCGGTATAAATACCAGCGTGTGAGGATTTATTGCAAACAAAAGACTTACCAGCTATAAAAAAAAGGGAGAGTCATACAAAGTTCAGACAGAAGCATAATATTGTTTAGTTTAACTCGCCTGTGGAAACAACTCAGAGGCTATTAAAGAAGAAGGATAATAACAAGAAGATTGAAAGATGGGACTGGTGAACACTAAAAGCAGCAGAAATATGAGATGATTGGACCCCACTGAACTCGAAGCACGGGAACCCCCAACAAAAATTTATAATTTGGCAAAATATTTGGACTTTATGATATGTGCTTGTATAATTTGGAGTAATTAATGTGACTTGATTGGATTGTTAAAATGGAAAACAATAAAAAAATATTATTAAAAAAAAGGAAAGGAGCTGGGCCTCTGCTGGGGGCCAGCCGGGCAAATGACCAGTCATGCCACCCTCTGGGTGCAGTCCGATGCCAACACCTCATTCTGCAAAACTTGTAGTATGGTTCTCCGGGAATCAGTCGCTTTGGAGTGACTCCTCAGGAGGGCATCCTTCTGAGTAAATGAGGAAAGGTGATTTCAGACCTCTTGAAACCAGCCCCGATCGACTTTCTTCTTGGCAAGATCATAGAATCATAGAATCATAGAGTTGGAAGAGACCACAAGGGCCATCGAGTCCAACCCCCTGCCAAGCAGGAAACACCATCAGAGCACTCCTGACATATGGTTGTCAAGCCTCTGCTTAAAGACCTCCAAAGAAGGAGACTCCACCACACTCCTTGGCAGCAAATTCCACTGTCAAACAGCTCTTACTGTCAGGAAGTTCTTCCTAATGTTTAGGTGGAATCTTCTTTCTTCTCCGAAGATGCCGTCTGCAAAAAGACTCTCCGAAGCCAATTTTATCAAAGTAGGGCTGGTGAGCCAGATCCAATAGTTTTGGAGCTGTAGATTTTTAAAAAAACGTATTGCTTTTTTCCTCGCTTGATATTTATAAACCGGCTTCTAACAGAAGGGGGCTTGCAAGGTGGTTTGTGACAGTATAAAAACACAGTTTTAAAACGACATTCCGGCAGCAGCAGGGATGCAGGCTGTTCCCTGTGTTCTGTGCGGCTGGGATTTTTTCCCTTGTGCTCTGACCTTTGGCAAAAGCACCAGGTTTTCTTGCTATATGCAAAAATCCTGGCATCTTCGGAGAAGGGCTGGGGAAAACCTGTGTCTTGAAACCATCAGCACAGACAATGTGGAGCCAGATGGACAAAGGATTTAACTTGGCTGAAGGCAGCTCCCTGCGTCTTTACAGTCATGCCTTCATGCTGCTGAAGAGAGCAAGAGAATAAGGCTCTGTTCCGGGGCTCTCAAATCCCTTGCTACAAAAACACAAACTTTTGAGATCAAAACAGACACATTTCCCTGTAACCTAGGAATCGCATGTAAACATTTTGATTATTGTTGAATTGCTTGTTTTGCAGACTCGTGATGCTTGCAGATTTGACAAGGATAGTAATACAGTGGTACCTTGGGTTACATACGCTTCGGGTTACTTACGCTTCAGGTTACAGACTCCGCTAACCCAGAAATAGTGCTTCAGGTTAAGAACTTCGCTTCAGGATAAGAATAGAAGTTGTGCTCCGGTGGCGCGGCAGCAGCAGGAGGCTCCATTAGCTAAAGTAGTGCTTCAGGTTAAGAACAGTTTGGGGTTAAGAACGGACCTCCGGAACGAATTAAGTTCTTAACCTGAGGTGCAGGGCCTGCAAGACAGAGCTGTTCCATTTGGACTCAGTCTGACCCTTATGTTTCCCTCCCCTTATGGTTTTGATCTATGGGCTACTTTTAAAAAGAGGCAGCATTTTAAATTGCATTTTAACCCATATTTTAAATTGGTTTTTTCCCCTCCCCCCCCATTATGTTTTTATTGTAATTTTACTGGTGTTAGCTGCCCTGAGCCCGGCTCTGGCCGGGGAGGGTGGGGTATAAATAATAATAATAATAATAATAATAATAATAATAATAATAATATAACAAACAGCAGGAGCAATTGTGCCCGGCTTGCGCCATCGCCCTCTGCTCAGTAGCCGTGCCAAGGCTCTGGCCTAGCCTGGGGGGTTCCGAGGTGCCGCCGCTTTAAGGGCCCAAGGGCCCCCCAAGCCGAGCGCAGGGGCCGGGTGTGGTGGTTCCGTGGGGCCCCCCAAACCGGCCATGGAACTTGGACACTCGTCTTCTCTTGGCTGTGAGTCCCCCTGGGCCCGAGATCAAGGGGTCTGAAAGCCCGCAGGGGGCGTTGCCATGGCAGCTGGGCCCCAGAGCGGCACAACTGCCAGGAGTGGCCCCCGCAGCCCCCTGGAAACAGGTCTGGGGCCGGTCCTGCTCCCACCCCAAAGTCTCCAGCCTCCCCCTTTTCCCCCAGGTGTGGCTCTGGGTTTTGGGGTCACATGACTTGCGCCTGGGGCCGAGTGGAAATGCCCTCCCAACGCCCAACCCCAGCAAGGGTTGCCAACTCTTTCCGCTGCCTCTGCTCCTCTGCTTTTCGTAATAGCTTGATTTGCAGGGATGCCTTCGCTCCCTCTTCACTGCCTGCCCCCCACTCTTTTTATGGAAGGATCAAACTGACGTCTAAATAATAATAATAATAATAATAATAATAACAATTAATAACTACATATTTATTAATCATCCGCCTTCACACCTAAAGGGCGGCTTAACAGCATACGCATATTTTCCAGATTTACAAAACTGATCCCTGCTTCTGATTTGATCCCAGAATGTCCCGCTTTTCCTTAGGACGTCCCTATTTTCATCCGAGAAATGTTGGAGGGGATGGAGTTATCCGACCCCCGAGCCATCTGAAGCCAGCCCTGTATAAGGAGGTTTTGTAATTTTTAATGTTTTATTATGCTTTTATATATGTTGTAATCTGCCCAGAGCGGCTGGGGCAACCTATTCAGATGGGTGGGGTATGAACAATAAAAATTATTATTATTATTATTATTATTATTATTATTAAATAGGACATCTCTATTTTCATCGGAGAAATGTTGGAGGTTACGCATCTTTGATCTGCAGAGATGAGTCTTTCAGATGATGATGTTGATTTATGAAAGGCAGAAAATGGCAGAAAAAACAGAAAATGTGCAATATAATGATTTAAAACACAACTCCCCGCAGACACATTGAAAAGGCCACCCATTGTTTTAATAGCCAAAGGCCTGGTTGAAGAGCAATGTTTTCACCTGGTGCGTAAAGATGTAATGAATGCGCCCGGTGAGCCTTCCTGGGGAGAGCATTCCAGAGATGGGGAGCCACTGCAGAAAAGGCCCCGTTCTCGTGTTGCCACCTTCCAGACCTCTTGTGGAGGAGGCACACAAAGAAAGGCCTCAGAGGATGATCTCTGGGTCCGGGGTGGTGCAGATGGGAAGAGGCAAAGCTGAGATGTTGGTAGTGATTTTTGTTATCTTATTTTTTTTGTATATGATTTTTTAATTAAAATTTCTGTTTTACAATGTACTCATTTTTACACCCTTAAGATACCAGTGACTTCCCTTCTTCTCTTTCCATGGTTCATTTTACATATGATAAATCCCTGCACATTTTACAGAAACTATACCATTCAGTATTCCATTATTACATCCATCAAAACTGATTTACACTGTTGAATTTATCTTAATGCTGCCAATGTTTTCAGCTGTACAAGTAGTGATATCTATCTATCTATATCTATCTATCTATCTATCTATCTCATCTATCTATCTATCTATCTATCTATCATCTATCTATCATCTATCTATATCTATCTATCTATCTATCTATCTATCTATCTATCATCTATCATCTATCATCTATCATCTATCTATCATCTATCTCTATCATCTATCTATCATCTATCTATCTATCTATCTATCTATCATCTATCTATCATCTATCTATCTATCTATCTATCTATCTATCTATCTATCTATCATCTATCATCTATCTATCTCTATCTATCTATCATCTATCATCTATCTATCTATCTATCTATCTATCATCAATCTATCATCATTTATCTATCTATCTATCATCTATCTATCTATCATCTATCTATCTATCTATCTATCTATCTATCTATCTATCTATCATCTATATCTATCTACAGTATCAGTCTACATTATCTATCTATCATCTATCTATCTATCTCTATCTATCTATCTATCTATCTATCTATCTATCTATCTATCATCTATCTATCTATCTATCTATCTATCATCTATCTATCATTTATCATCTATCTACAGTATCAATCTACAGTATCTATCTATCATCTATCTATCTATCTATCATCTATCTATCTATCTATCTATCTATCATCTATCTATCTATCTATCTATCTATCTATCTATCTATCTATCTATCATCTCTATGCTGGAAGCCAATCAGAGTGGCTGGGGCTACTCAGTCAGATGGACGGGGTATAATAATAATAATAATAATAATAATAATAATAATAATAATAATTACTACTACGCTTACTGCTCCCCTACCATCACCTGACCAAGGCAAGAGGCGGCTGAAAAAGGAAGTTATAAAGAGGAGCAGCAGGTTCAAAGAGCGCTCTGGTCCAATTCCTTAAAAATATCAGGGCCTGTGGCCCCCGTAGTGGCAGCTTCAGAAGCGAATGTGGCCCCTGGGCTGCAAAGGGCCAAACTCGACGACTAATCGAAAGCCCCTGGCTTCTCCCCCTTTGCCTCCTTCTCCCCGCCCCGAATCCAGCTCAGATGTGCTCCCTGAAGGAAGAGTTTGACTCGCTGCAGGAGGTGAAAGATGTGGAGCTGGACCGCTTGGAGCGGGAACTGCGGGAGGCCAACGAGGAGATCCACAGTCTGCGCTTGGACGCCGAGGAAGCGGCCGCCTTGCACGAGAACGAGGTGGCCGAGCTGCAGGAGGAGATCTGCCGCCTGAAAGCCGAGCTGGAGCGCGTGCAGAGGGTCCGGAACGAGTACGACATGGAGGTCACAGCCCTGCGGGCCGAGATCAACATGAAGCGGCCGGGCACCGGGGACAGCCAGCCTGCCCCGGAGATGTTGCTGGTGTCCCACTTTGACGACCGTCTCGCCTGCACCTCGGAAGAGGTGGCCAGGCTCCAAGGTACAATCATGTCTCGGGTTACAGACGCTTCGGGTTGCACAATTTTTTAAAAAAATATATATTTTTGGTTTTAACATGTAAACTATAAAACATACCACACTATTTATTACAAATACAATCTTATTGGACTTCCATCAGCGCCTCTGATGATCTTCCGTCTTAACCACTTCTAACGCATTTCTTTACTTTATATTGTCTTTACCTCCCTTAACATACCACCACCCCGTTTCCATTTTTACAATACTTCAAAGTATACCCCTCACAGAACTTCTTGCAAACCTACAAACGTCGTCCAGTCGTCACAAATACTTTTCATATAGTTCGTAAATTTACTCCAGTCTTCGGTAAATTTCTGGTCTCGCTGGTTTCGGATCCTTCCTGTTAATTTGTCTAATTCTGCATAGTCCATTAACTTCATCCTCCATTCTTCAATCGTCGGGAGTTCTTCTTGTTTCCATTTTTGGGCCAATAATATTCTAGCTGCTGTCACTGCATATAAAACAAACTTACAGTCCTTTCTATTTATATCACTTCCAACAATACCCAGTAGAAATGCTTCTGGTTTCTTACTAAATGTATATTTCAACATTTTTTTCAACTCATTAAATATCATCTCCCAGAAGCATTTCACCTTTTTACAATCCCACCGCATGTGATAAAATGTTCCCTCTTTTTCTTTGCATTTCCAACATTTATTACTAGTTTTATACATTTTTGCTAATTTAACAGGGGTAATATACCATCTGTACATCATTTTCATCACATTTTCTTTTAATGCATTACATGCAGTAAACTTTAAGCCTTCCTTCCATAATTTTACCCAATCACACAGTTGTATGTTGTACCCAAAATCTTTGGCCCAGTGAATCATAACTGACTTAACTTCTTGATCTTTCAATTGCCATTGAAGCAGCCATTTATACGGGTTGAGCGATTTCGGGTGGCACACTGCGCCGAACCCGGAAGTACCAGAATGGGTTACTTCCGCGTTTCGGCGTTGTGCAGGCACAGAAGCGCTAAATCGCACTTTGCGCAGAAGCGCCAAATTGCGAGCCGCTTTAAAAGCAGCTGGTCTCTTGTATGGCCTGGTCCTCTTCAATGGAGCTCAGAAATAGGTGCCCCACTCTTCAGTAGGGCTGACCCCCAAGCGAATGTGCATAGGACCATGGTTGTGAGCAGGACCGGATTGAGGTTTGATGAGGCCCTCAGCTACTGAAGGTAATGGGGCCCTTTCTATGTCCAGCTGTCCTTTGCCAACAACAAATGGTCGCTGTTTTTTGTGTGGAATATATGCTATATGGTAATTGATGGACCCAATAGGTATCTCAAGCCATTTGCACGTTTTGCCCTGCAAGCAGTCCATGCAGAATGTAGGCACCCTATATAAAGGTAAAGGGACCCCTGACCGTTAGGTCCAGTTGTGGCCGACTCTGGGGTTGCGGCACTCATCTCGCTTTATTGGCCAAGGGAGCCGGCATACAGCTTCCGGGTCATGTGGCCAGCATGACTAAGCCGCTTCTGGCGAACCAGAGCAGCGCATGGAAACGCCGTTTACCTTCCCGCTGGAGCGGTACCTATTTATCTACTTGCACTTTGACGTGCTTTTGAACTGCTAGGTTGGCAGGAGCAGGGACCGAGCAATGGGAGCTCACCCCGTCGTGGGGATTCGAACCACCGACTTTCAGATCGGCAAGTTCTAGGCCTCCCGTGACCCTATATATAGAAAGGAGCAAACCATTGGTATTTGAGGGAGCAGGCTAGCAGGCGGGGCCCATTCCTTACATCCTAGGAGCCTACACAACACAAAACACTCTTGCTGTATGTAGGGTTTTTTTTTAAATCTTATATTTTGGAAATGTACATCCAGGTTTTTCCCCCTTTAATTTTTTTGGGGGCCCCCAAGAGAGTGGGGCCCTAGGCTATAGCTTGTTTAGCTTATATGTAAATCCAGCACTGGTTGTGATCATATTGGCCTATTGACTGGGGCTGATAGCAATTGTTGGGGGTTTCCAAAGCAGCATTTATTGTGCGACTGGAGCTCATCATACTTTTGTGATTTTTGCTGTGTGCAGTTGACATTATTGGCACCAAAATCCCAGCCTGCATTTCCTTCCTGTTTAATTTGTTTTTGGTTTTTTTCCTTCCTGGGGAGAACCAGTAAGTAAAAAAATGAGCAAATATTTCCAAATTAAACACCCTTAGGGCTCACCCACACTTTTACCACAAGCTTTCCCTATTGTTCCATGGCTGTGCCTTGCAAAAATTCAGCCTCACCCCCTGAATCAGATCTTATCAGATGCACAGAAAATCCGAAGAGAGGTTTTGCTTAACCGGGCGTCAATTCAGCGCGGGAAATTGGATTTTTGCAAGGCACAGCCACGGAACCATGAGGAAAAGGTCTCGGACCTGGCAGGGAAATAATCGGTACCCAATGCAGAAAGCCCACAGTTACACGCATCTAAGTTGGGTTAAACCACAGAGCCTAGGACTTGCCAATCAGAAGGTCGGCGGTTCGAATCCCCGCTACAGGGTGAGCTCCTGGTCCCTGCTCCTGCCAACCTAGCAGTTCGAAAGCATGTCAAAGTGCAAGTAGATAAATAGGTACCACTCAGGCGGGAAGGTAAACGGCGTTTCTGTGCGCTGCTCTGGTTTGCCAGAAGCAACTTAGTTATGTGGTTTAACCCACAGCGCCACCCACATCCCAGAAGCGGCTCAATTATGCTGGCCACATGACTCGGAAGCCGTACGCCGGCTCCCTCGGCCAGTAAAGTGAGCTGAGCGCCGCAACCCCAGAGTCATCCTCGACTGGACCTAACGGTCATGGGTCCCTTTACCTTTTTAAGTCAGCGGAAAGGGGATGTGGGTGGCGCTGTGGTCTAAACCACAGAGCCTAGGACTTGCTGATCGAAAGGTTGGCGGTTTGAATCCCCGCGACGGGGTGAGCTCCCGTTGCTCAGTCCCTGCTCCTGCCAACCTAACAGTTCGGAAGCACGTCAAAGTGCAAGTAGATAAATAGGTACCACTCCGGCGGGAAGGTAAACGGCGTTTCCGTGCGCTGCTCTGGTTCGCCAGAAGCGGCTTAGTCATGCTGACCACATGACCCGGAAGCTGTACACCGGCTCCCTTGTCCAATAAAACGAGATGAGCGCCGCAACTCCAGAGTCAGTCACGACTGGACCTAATGGTCAGGGGTCCCTTTACCTTTACCTAACTTTTGCACACGTTCTGTTTTACGCACTTGGCAGAAAACGTTTTAAAAATAAGGGAGTGGAAGGAGGGCGGGCATCCAGGGGAAAAAATACTTTGGCAATCTTACCGAGCAAACCTTGAATCAGATGGAATAATCCTCCTGACATGCGCTGCTCGGCTGCGGCACATGATGTTTCATCCCGGTGGCTGTGCTTTGCAGAGGATCTCCGGACGCTGAGAATTAAGTACCAGGAACTGACCAACGAGTACCAAATCCTGCAGGAGAGCAACAAGATCATGGTCAACCAGCTGGAGAGACTGGAAGCCCTGAAATACAGGTGAGTCTCCATGTCCCGGGATTGCGCATGGCGGTGAGTGGCTTGTGGCAGGACCCCGAGGAGCCGGAACATTTTATTCGATTGCATTTACCGTATTTTTCACTCTATAGGACGCACTTTTCCCCCTCCAAAAATGAAGGGGAAATGTGTGTGTGTCCTATGGAGTGAATGCAGGCTTTCACTGAAGCCTGGAGAGCGAGAGGGGTTGGTGTGCACGGACCCCTCTCGCTCTCCAGGCTTCAGGCAGCTATCCGCAAGCCTTCGGAGCGCTCCGAAGGCTTGCGGATAGCAGCCTGCAGCCTGAAGCCCGGGGAGCGCAGTGCCAACTCCCGCTGCGCTCCCTGGGCTTTTTTTTTTTTTTTTTAAAAAAGATTTTTATTAAAGTTTTCAAAGGTTACAAAAAGAAAAAAGAAAAAGAAAAAATACAAAGTAAAAACAGTTAAAAACAATTCAATCTTTCCATGTCTTATCTTTCATTTGCCTGTTCCCCGGACCTCCTCGCACCTCCCTTTTTTGTATCCAGTTCAATTAGTTGGTTCAGCAAATCCTTTCCCTCTTTGTTTTTATCCTAATCTTTAGTCTTGATATATTATAACTTTAAATTATCACCTGTTAACAATCCATTTTTGCACATCTTTATAACATTACTGCTGAAAACCACTTAACTTAAATCCAACATCATTCTAACATTCATTAATTTTACAACATTTCTGTAAATAGTCTTCAAATTTCTTCCAATCTTCAGGCAGCTATCCGCAAGCCTTCAGAGCCTGGCAGGAGTTCCCGCCGGGCTCCGAAGGCTTGCGGATAGCAGCCTGTTCTGGGGGCTGGGGGCGAGGGAAGCTCGGGCTTCCCCTGCCCCAGCCCCAGCCCGGCGGCTAAAAACGAAGCCAAGACAGCGAGCGGGATCCATCTTCTTTGCTCTTTGGGGCTGGGGGGGGAAATATATCCCCCCCTTATTTCCCCCCCTAAAAACGAGGTGCATCCTATGGTCCTGTGCGCCCTATGGAGCGAAAAATACGGTATATTCCACCTTTCCTGCAAGGAGCTCAAGGTGGCCTGCCTTGTTCTCCTTTCTCCCAGCTCAGTCCTCACAACCACCCTGTGAGGTAGGTTCGGCTGAGAGTCTGTGACTGGTCCGAGGCCACCCAGTCAGCTTCATGACCGAGTGGAGATTGGGACCCTCGTCTCCCATGTCCTAACCCAGCACGCTGTCTACTAAACCACGCTGACTCTCTTGCCTCTGCAAATATCAGCTTTAGAGAGAGAATTTTTTGCCGGGAGCAAAGTGGGAGTGAGAAAGAGTTAAAGTCCCTCCTCAGCTCTGCTGCACTTCCAAGATAATTTACCTGTTTAGGGAAGTTTTTTTAAATGACTGATGTTTTAATGTATTTTTAGCCTTCTGTTGAAGGGATGCCGGTGGTGCTGTGGGTTAAACCACAGAGCCTAGGACTTGCCGATCAGAAGGTTGGCAGTTCGACTCCCCGCGACGGGGTGAGTTCCCGCTGCTCAGTCCCAGCTCCTACCAACCTAGCAGTTCGAAAGCACGTCAAAGTGCAAGTAGATAAATAGGTACCGCTCCGGCGGGAAGGTAAAGGTCGTTTTCGTGCGCTGCTCTGGTTCTCCAGAAGTGGCTTAGTCCTGCTGGCCACGTGACCCGGAAGCTGTACTCCGGCTCCCTCGGCCAGTAAAGCGAGATGAGCACCGCAACCCCAGAGTCGGCCACGACTGGACCTAACGGTCAGGGGTCCCTTTACCTTTACCTTAACCTTCTGTTGGAAGCCACCCAGAGTGGCTGGGGAAACCCAGCCAGATGGGCAGGGTATAATAATAATAATAATAATAATTATTATTAATAATTATTATAATTATTATTATTACCTGTACACCCCTGGGGCAAATGTTCTGATTATAGTGATGGCTACCACCTTGAATGCCTAATAATAATAATAATAATAATAACAATAGCTGGTGTCCTTGTTTTTTGTCCAAGAGAGCCCCCTCAGATTTCTCTGTTAACAAACTTAATTCGTTCCGGAGGTCCGTTCTTAACCTGAAACTGTTCTTAACCTGAAGCACCACTTTAGCTAATGGGGCCTCCTGCTGCCACTGCACCGCCGCCACACGATTTCTGTTCTCATCCTGAAGCAAAGTTCTTAACCCGAGGTACTATTTCTGGGTTAGCGGAGTCTGTAACCTAAAGCATATGTAACCTGAAGCGTCTGTAACCCGAGGTACCACTGTATCTCCCTCTCAGTCCTTTCCCCCCAAACAGAGCCCGGAGCAAGTCGGACGACTCTCCCTCCCTCGACTCGGACTCCGAGGGCAGCACGGACCACCCCCCGTCCATCAACTGGCGGGCCACGCCCCACGCGAGCGGCAGCGTCTCCTTCAAGTCCGTGGAGATGGCGGGCACGGCCAGCGAGGGAGACGAGGAGGAGAAGCTGTCGAAACCGGAGAGCGAGGCTGACTTGCGCTACCAGGTGAGGAGGGAGGAGAGCGAGGCGGATCCGGACCAGGCGCCGGTATGGGGAGAGGTTTTTAAACGGTGCGCCCCCTTTCAAGGAACCCTGGAAGAATTGTTTGGCGAAGGGTTAAGGAGGTCATGGAACGTGGTGGTTGAGATCATGACGCACGAATGAGGATATAATAATAATAATAATAATAATAATAATAATAATAATAATAAAACAAACTTTTATTTATACCCTGCCCTCCCCAGTTCAGGAAACCGGGCTCAGGGCGGTTAACAACAAGTTTAAAACACTTAATTGATGCTACAAAAACAAACAAACAAAAAACCAGCATAAAATATGGTATAAAGCGTAAATAACAATAAAATCTAGAATCAAAAATCAATTTAGGGGGGAAATCCATTCAATAAACATTAGATGATCACCAGGGCTAGCTGGCTATAGCATATGGTGATGGTGGTCTTGTAGTAAGGTCAAAGCTTACTGGGAAATGATATATAATGAATTGAAAAGGATGTTTAAAATAAAGTTTGTTTTAAGAAAGCCAAAAACACCCAGAAGCTTTCCTTTTGGAATTATAGGGACAGAACTACCCAAGCTGTATAGAAATTTATTCTTGTATGCGACTACAGTGGCAAGACTGTTACTTGCCTAAAAATTGAAAAAAGTAGAGGTCCCAGCAAAGGAAGAACGGAAATAAAAACTTATGGGATATGCAGAAATGGTGAAACTTACTAGAAGAATAAGAAATCAAGAGAGCAAACCTTTCTTTAATGAAAGAATGGAAATGGTTTATTGAATATTTACAGATGAATTGTAAACAGATAAGAACATTGGCAGGATTATTATAATAATCCTGCAGTTTTATGAGAGCATATATTTAGATGAATAAATAAGCAAATTAAGTTAATTTGGATATGCAGAAGATATTAAAAAGAAATTAAGGAACCTCAGAAGGAGGGGGAAGGAAGTCACGTTTTGAAATGTTAACACAGGCACAGGCAAACTCCGGCCCCCCAGCTGTTTTGGGACTACAACTCCCATGATCCCTAGCTAACACGACCAGTGGTCAGGGATGATGGGAGTTGTAGTCTCAAAACATCTGGAGGGCCGGAGTTTGCCTGTGCCTGTGTTAAAATGATTGTAAAACTAGTGAAATGTAAAAACCTGAAAAGCATATTTTTTATTTTTATTTTTTAAGAGCATAAGGGCAGCCAAAATGACCAAGGGGTGGAGAGAAAGTTTGCAGTATTTGGGACATTTTCGTCCGGAGAAAGGGCGAGGAAGAGGCAACAAGAAAAAGCTGCCTTCTCCAATCAGGGGTTTTCCAGATATTTCAGATATTTCCAGCTGGCCTCGCCACCCGGGGCTGGTGGGATCTGCAGCCTAAAATGTCAGGAAGGCTCTCCGAGGTCGGACAAGGCCGGTAACCCTCTCTGCAGGTCAGAAACAACAGGGCACGGAGTTTTTGGATGTTGGGCACAGCTTGACCTCCTTGCCCTCTGTGCCCCTCTTCTTGCCCTGGCAGAGCGACCAAGCCCCGCGCAGGACGGAAGACAAGGACCATATTGACCTCCCGGAGTGGGCAAGGAAAGCGGAAGAGCAGAAGGGGAGAGTGGCGGCAATAGCAGGAAGGGAAGATGGAAGTGAGGTAGGCATGACGTACGGAACAGGTGCTGACCAGGAGTTTGGTGGGAAATCCACGTGCTTCAGCTCTGCGTTAGCAGTACAGAAAGCACCAGGGTGGCCTTCCTTACAGGGTGGTTGTAAAGGGTCCAGTAAAATAGGCATGCAAAATGCAGGAGTCTGGGCTTGGTAGCTAAGTTATTATTTTTCGCTCCATAAGACGCCACCCGACCATAAGACGCACCTAGTTTTTAGAGGAGGAAAATGAGGGGGGAAATATTCTGAACGAAACGGTGGATGTATGATTTTTGTGGTTCATGCTGTGGCCACAGACATGTGATCTGATGGTGAATTTGGGGTGACCCAATGCAAAAATCCTGAGGATCCATGTGGATCCGTGCTTTGTAACCACGTTTTTGCACCATTGCGGCCCCACAAAACAGTGGATGCATGGTTTTTTGGTGCAGGCTGTAGCCATAGACATGCTATGTGATCTGATGGTGAATTTGGGGTGACCCAATGCAAAAATCCTGAGGATCCATGGGCTTTTACCTCCCCCCTCCCAAGCAGCCTCTTTTATCGAGTCCCTTATCTCTCTTCCGATCCGACCGATCAGCTGTTTCCTTTCAACACTCCCTTCCCTCTTGTTTGCCTTAATGTCTTTTCCTTAGCTGGGGCAGTTTTTTGCTCCTCCTTTTCTTCTAATTTCTCTCCTCATTGACAAAACAAAAAAAATTCCTTCCAGTAGCACCTTAAAGACCAACTAAGTTAGTTCTTGGTATGAGCTTTCGTGTGCATGCACACTTCTTCAGATACACTCATCAACTGCAGAGCCGGGACCCATATGGGGAACTGCCCCACCAACCTCAGTTCAGCCCCGACCTGCCTGCCTTATTTTTGACCACCAGTCCAGCGGGGTAGCCCTGCCTGTCAGATTCCCCCTCCCCTCTTCACTCCAGGGCTTCTGCCTGCCAAACTTAGCAAAGGGGAAGAGGATAGGGACGAAACTAGAATCAATTGGTTGTGCTGTTGCGTTCCGAAGGCAAAGGAAGGATTGGACCCTGATTAATAAAATACACACTAGGCTTGGCCAGAAAGACTCTGGGAGGAAGTGCCAATAATAATCTGTCACATCCTGGCCCAGATCCCTTTTATTAACAAATGAACTTTTAACAAGCGCTTGTAAGAACCAATCAGATTTCCCCTGAGCATTTCAAAAAAACCACGTGGGACAAAGTTAGATCAGAGAAATCCTTTTAACTACAAAGAACTAATTTGAGCATGTTCAGGCTAAATAAAACAGGAATCAAGGAGGAATGCAAACCCTGGAGGTCATAAACAGGCAGTAAACAGGAAAGGAAGGACAGGCAAGGAAAGATAGTATTTAGCATCTCCTTGTGAATTCTCTTCCTGGCCCTTAAGATCTACCTAAAGATTAACAAAATCTACATCAAGGCTACCTCCTTATCTTATGTACTGAGGATGCCTTGTGAAGCAACCAGTCTGTGTTTCAGAGTGCTTATACGTGCCTGTCAGGCAGAGAAAATGGGCAGTAGAGAAAATGGGGCAGAGATGCAGAGGCTTGTGGGATTTGATCAGAAATTATTCACAATGACTCAAGCCCAGTCAACGCAAGGCTTTCATCGCGGACGCAATGGCTTGCTCCATTTTTCATAATTTCATAGCAATCCCACCTGACCACCACATCATGCCCAGGCAGTGGCTCTGGCGCCACCTGCTGTTGGCCTCCGTGCCTCCTGCCCTACCCAGTCCCACCAGCTGTTCCTGGATCCCACTAAGACCCCGTGCGTCGGAAAGGTACGCGAAGGGATGCCCGGCTTGTCCGTTGACCCTCTGCTCTTCCTTCTTCTCTGGCAGCACGACCAAACCCAGGACATCCTGAGAGAGATGGAGAGTAAGTGTTGGCTCAGCCAGAACGAACGGGAGCAGCTGCACGAGGAATTGCGGATGTGCAAGGAAGAGATTGAGAGACTTAACGGCAGCATCCCCATCGGAGGACGGGTAATTCCTCAGAGGCGTTTGGGCAAGTGTGTGTGTGTGTGTTTGCAGTTTGCTCTGCTCGGTCCAGTGGGGAGCTGGGGGCTGGAACAACCCTTTCCCTGAGGTAGGGGTGATTGATTGATTAATTGATTGATTGATTGATTGATTGACTGATTGCATTTCTATGCCGTTTCCGTTCAAGCGAATCCCAAAGTGGCTTACAAGCAACAAACAGCAATAGCATGAACACCACAAGTACAGCATGAATCAGATAATCACGGGGAATCTGGTTCAAGTTTGAATTTGGGTACAAAACCTTTCTGAAACGCAGCTGTCCTCTCCAGCCAGGCTTTTAACGACCAGCCGCCTCAGTGTCTCCACAGGGACATATTAATCGTTTTATTTGTTTATTTCATAAATAAATTTATGCGCCGTTTGATTGAGGGTGGGGGTGGGGAGAGACATACCTCAACGAGGTTTACAAAGAGAAGGGGGAAATAAAATTAGCTTTAACAGCAATACTTTGAAACGTTCAAAAGGTAAAACCAGCAAGAAACTGAAAGCAGGTTAAGACACACATCCGCGTTCTGCATGTCTGGGTAAAGGTAAAGGGACCCCTGACCATTAGGTCCAGTCGTGGCCGACTCTGGGGTTGCAGCGCTCATCTCACTTTATTGGCCGAGGGAGCCGGCATACAGCTTCCGGGTCATGTGGCCAGCATGACTAAGCCACTTCTGGCGAACCAGAGCAGTGCACAGAAACGCCGTTTACCTTCCCGCCAGAGTGGTACCTATTTATCTACTTGCTCTTTGACGTGCTTTCGAACTGCTAGGTTGGCAGGAGCAGGGACTGAGGGAACGGGAGCTCACCCCGTCGCGGGGATTCGAACCACCGACCTTCTGATCGGCAAGTCCTAGGCTCTGTGGTTTAACCCACAGCGCCACCCGCGTCTGGGTAGGCTTGACCAAACAGAAATGTTTTTAGCAGGTGCTGAAAAATATAGAGGGAAGGCACCTGTATGTCATTGGGCAGGGAGTTTGAAAGTGTAGGTGGCGTCGCAGAGAAAGATTGATTTCTTACAAATGCGGAAGAAGTATCACGCGGCACTTATAGCAGCGCCAGGTATCACGTGGAGATCAGTCGCCGGGCACTTTTGGGGGTGCTGTGCCCAAAGAAGCCAGTGTGGTGTAGTGGTTAAGAGCGTTGGTCTCGTAATCTGGGGAACCAGGTTCGCTTCCCCGCTCCTCCACACGCAGCTGCTGGGTGACCTTGGGCCAGTCACACTTCTCTGAAGTCTCTCAGCCCCACTCACCTCACAGAGTGTTTGTTGTGGGGGAGGAAGGGAAAGGAGAATGTTAGCTGCTTTGAGACTCCTTAGGGTAGTGATAAAGTGGGATATCAAATCAAAACTCCACTCCACAAACGCCAGACGACAGGGTTCGAGAGACCCAGCAATTCCTGCATAATGTCTTGTGTGGTTGCTTTTTTAAACACACACACACACATTGACTGACTCCAATTCTAGCACAATCGCAATCCCTTTCCCGGTGGGTGGTAGGAATTCTGCATAGCCAGCTCCTTCCCAGACACCCAAATTCTTCGGTGCAGTCATAGCACACAGGCGGCTCTGAAGCAGGATCCGGGCCCGAAATTTCAGACCCCCGTCCCACACGGGCAGCCGAGACACCCTGTGGCCTAACTTCTTTCTTTCTCTCTCTCTCCTCTCTCTGGTCCCCTGCCATGGCTCATCTCCCCTCTGTGGTGTCTGTGGCGTCCCCTCCGCCCTCCATCCCACGCTCTCCCTCCCCACACCGACCCCCGGAACCCCACAGGCCCCCCACGTGCCCGACCCTCCCGCCGTCATCTCCCTCCCTCTCATAGGACTGGTTATCATAGTAGCCCTGCTTTGGTGCTGGCGGGCTGAGATGTCTTCCTAAAGCCCCGAATCAGGTACTGGTATCCGCTTGGTCTGCTAGGCTGCGCTTGGCTTGCGTCTCCTGCATGAAGCAAGGACACACATTCCCCGTCCCCAACATTTGGTTGCTTTGTCATTGTCCACCCCCCTTGCAGTTACACCCATGTACCTGCCCTGCACCCCTCCCTCCCGCCTCCTTCCCCAACCCATCGCCTGCCGCACAGCCTGTTCCCTCTTTGCAACAAATCATCTCCCCATGCTTGCATTTCCTCCTCCGGTGAGGCAGAGCAGGAACAAGCCAATTCCTTTTTTTAATAAAAGACTTTGGGTTAGGAACGCCTTTCCAGAGGTTTTCCTGCTGGAGCTGATGGGAGCTCTAGGCAGTGCCGGATTTACGTACAGTGGTACCTCGGGTTAAGAACTTAATTCGTTCCGGAGGTCCGTTCTTAACCTGAAACTGTTCTTAACCTGAAGCACCACTTTAGCTAATGGGGCCTCCTGCTGCCACTGCGCCACTGGAGCACGATTTCTGTTCTCATCCTGAAGCAAAGTTCTTAACCCGAGGTGCTATTTCTGGGTTAGCGGAGTCTGTAACCTGAAGCGTATGTAACCCGAGGCATCACTGTATAAGCTAAACAAGCTATAGCTTAGGGCCCCACTCTCTTGGGGCCCCCAAAAAAATTAAAGGGGAAAAAACCTGGATGTACATTTCCAAAATATTAAAAAGCTAAAGGTGAAGCACCCCAGACAGTTAAGTCCAGTCGTGAATGACTCTGGGGTTGCGGTGCTCATCTCGATTTATTGGCTGAGGGAGCCGGCGTACAGCTTTTTGTGGTTTTATATCTTGATTTTATTCTGTGAACTGCCCTGAAACCCCAGGTATAGGGCAGTATATAAATTCAATTAACAACAGCAGCAGCAGCAGCAGCAGCAACAACAGCACCACTTTATTTATTTACATGCTGTCCATCTGACGGGGTTTCCCCAGCCACTCTGGGCGGCTCCCAGCAGTCAAAACCATTCCTCTTCAACCCGGCCTCTCTCTCTGGCTTTTGACAGAATCATAGAGTTGGAAGGGACCAACGAGGGTCATCTAGTTCAGTGTTTCCCAACCTTGTGCCTCCAGCTGTTTTTGGACTACAATTCCCATCATCCCTTGCCACTGGTCTTGCTAGTCAGGGATGATGGGAGTTGTAGTTCAAAAACAGCTGGAGGCACAAGGTTGGGAAACACTGAATTCTAGTTCAACCCCCTGCATTGCAGGAATCTTTTACCCATTGCAGGTCTCGAACCCACAGCCCTGGCATAGCTACTGACTGAGCTATACCGGCTTGTAACTACCGGTGGCGTTCCAGAATAAGGGAGGGTGTTTAAACGTATTTCTCTCCCACCCGGGTTTTAATGCATGTCTTTTTTCCTTTCCTTTTTTCCTTTTGTAAGTCGCTTTGAGTGCCCTGGCAAAATAAAAATAAAAATAGGGTGACTAATACATTAAATAAATAAATAAATAAATAAATAAATAACTGACCTACCAGCTCAGAAATAAATAGATAGATAGATAGATAGATAGATAGATAGATAAAGACTAAGCTGCCACCTCAGAAATAGATAGATAGATAGATAGATAGATAGATAGATAGATAGATGACTGAGCTACCGGCTCAGAAATAAATACATACATAAAGGGTAAAGGGACCCCTGACCATTTGGTCCAGTCGTGGCCGACTCTGGGGTTGCGGCGCTCATCTCGCTTTACTGGCTGAGGGAGCCGCGTACAGCTTCCGGGTCATGTGGCCAGCAGGACTAAGCCGCTTCTGGCGAACCAGAGCAGCGCACGAAAACTCCATTTACCTTCCCGCCAGAGCGGTACCTATTTATCTACTTGCACTTTGACGTGCTTTCGAACTGCTAGGTTGGCAGGAGCAGGGACCAAACAACGGGAGCTCACCCCGTCACGGGGATTCAAACCGCCAACCTTCTGATAGGCAAGTTCTAGGCTCTGTGGTTTAACCCACAGCGCCACCAGGGTCCTTAGATAGATAGATAGATAGATAGATAGATAGATAGATAGATAGATAGATAGATAGATAGATAGATGGCTGAGCTACCAGCCTTCCTAGGAATCACCTTCATAAGAACATAAAAGGCTACAGGATCAATCCAATGGCCCTTCAGTGTAGCGCCCTGTTCTCACGGCGGCCGACCGGATGTCTGGCGGCGACCCAGCAAGAGGGATTCGAACACGAGCCCCCCGCCCCCCCGCGTGCTGAAAGCGCGGGTTGCAATGCACGCCTGTGGATGTCCGTGTGGTTCAATTAACCCTAGTGCATGGAGCGGGGTTGGAGCCAGGTGGGTGGGTTTTAAGGCTCCCTCGCTGACCCCCCTTTCTCCTTCTCCTCCCCTGCAGGTCCCAGCCGGAGGGATGAAGCCCCTCGCTCTCTTCGCCGTCCTTGCCGGGGGCCTGCTCCTCTACCCCTGCGTAAAGAGATACACCAGCAGTTGGACGCCGCCCTAAGGAGCCTGCACACCTGGACACCCGCCCCTCGCAGAGAGGGCCCCTTGCGCCACGTACCCCTCCCCACCCCAACTCTGTGAGGACTGAGCACCTGTCGTCCCCCCACACCGCCCCCCATCAACCCAACCGCTGTTCAGAAGGCCGGTCTCGGCTAAGCGACCCTTCACCCATCATCAGTTATCCATTCCCCTCCCTTTCCTGCTTCTGCTGAGGATGAGCTGAGGCGGGTTTTTTTTTGGGGGGGGGTCTTCCAACCGGGCTTCCAGCTTCCCACCTGCCCTGCCCCCTCCCTGCCGCCGGGGGTCTCTGTTGCGCGGTCCTCGCTCTCCCCATCGGTGGTCCCAACCTGGAGGAGCCCGGGCGTTGGCTGGGAGGGAAGAGAGATGGCTATGAGTCCGTCTCACCTCCTGGTGGCCCCCCCTGGAAAAAGCAGGACTTGGGGACCCCATGGTACCTCTCCCCTCTTTTACCCCCCCCGGCTCTTCTGTGCCAGCCCGAGGGGGCAACCGAGAGCAATAGCTGCCCTCTGGGTGGCTGACCTCTGCAATAACCGGAAGGGACCTGATGTGCTTTCCCAGCAGGAAAAGTTGCCAGCCAGGGTTGGGATGGAGAGGTGTGGGGAGCTGGGAGGGGGGCAGTTTCCTCTAGGCAATATTTAAAGTCTGTTTCGACACACTGTGAACGGGAAGCAACTTCCGGAGGGGCCCGGAGCAGAACAGATCGACCTGTGAATTTCTCTCATCCTCCGCTCCATCAGGGATAACCTTTCTCGCTTATCCCGACCCCCGGGCCGGATCCTGAATCTATGCATTCCACCCCTAGCTCCGTCCCCCTCCTCTTTCTCCATCGTGGTCTCGTCCCACAGCTGCACACCGTTTCCTCCTGGACCTAGGAATGCTCACAGAGTTTGTGTGTGTGTGTGTGTGTGTGTGTGTCCCTCTTTGCACCTTCGACGCAGGTATGATGGTTCGGGGACCACCAGGATGCAGAGAGGTCCCTTAAGGTCTGTTTGGGTCCCCCGGGACTGTCCTCGTCCGACAGTGCTTCCAGCAATCGAGGCCCCACCCAGGTAGCAAAGGGTGGGGGAGCCACGGCATGTGGACTGTAGCGCAGCCCTCCGGGATTTGGGGCGCCAAATCCTTGCCCTGCATGTTTCGTGGGCACCCGTCCTCCGTCACCTCACGGTCCGTCGCCCCCTCCTCACCTCTTCCGCGTCTCGTTCGTCGAGCTCTGCTCCCGACTTCCGTCCGAGAAGGGGTCCACCCCCGAAAAGCCGCTGGAGATCGTCTGCAGATCTTTCTCTTTCGTCTTTGTTCTATGTTGTAACTCAGTAAAAAAAAGGAAATGGTGAAAAAAAGACCTTTCTAAATACATGAGGCTTGGCTCTGTTCTGTCCTGGTTGCGTTATTCCGTGTGAAGGCAGTGTGGGAATGTTCAGGGTGGCAGGAGAGGATATAAAGGTAAAGGTAAAGGAACCCCTGACCATTAGGTCCAGTCGTGGCCGACTCTGGGGTTGCGGCGCTCATCTCGCTTTATTGGCTGAGGGAGCAGGCATGCAGCTTCCGGGTCATGTGGCCAGCAGGACTAAGCCGCTTCTGGCCAACCAGAGCAGCGCACGGAAACGCCGTTTACCTTCCCGCCGGAGCGGTACCTATTTATCTACTTGCACTTGACGTGCTTTTGAATTGCTAGGTTGGCAGGAGCAGGGACCAAGCAGCGGGAGCTCACCCCGTCGCGGGGATTCGAACCGCCGACCTTCTCATGACATCCTGTCTCGACAACACACAATGAAGCATCAGGGACTTAGCCCTGAATCAGAACATTTCTCCATTTAGTTCAGCATTGTCTGCACGATCTGGCAGCAGTTCGATGGGGGATGGTTGGGGAATGAATCTCGGACGTTCCCCCAGATTATAGAATCATAGAATTGTAGAGTTGGATGGGACCCCGAGGGTCATCTAGTGCAGCTCATCCATGACCGACGGCCACCCAACCTCTGCTTAAAAACCTGTAAGGAAGGAGAGTCCATCACCTTCCGAGGGAGTCCGTTCCACTGTCAAACAGTGGGAGACACTCTCCCACAGAGCTATGACCCTTCCCCAAATCCTGCTGTCTGGACAAAGACCTCTCTACTTGCAATTCTGCCGCCGTTGCTATGAAGCGGATTCTAAAAACTGCGCGATATAACAAAAATGTAATAGTGTTGTCACACTGCAGTTCGCATGGCTGCCGGCAGGTGGAGCCGTAACTACAGCACAACAACAAACTGGGCTCCCAGCAGTGTTGGAGGGTGTGGAAGGGGGGAGTTGGAGTTGGGGTCAGGCGAGTGGGTGGGCTGTTGGGTGGCTGGGCAGTTGGCCCAAGCAGGCAGGCAGGCGCCCCAGGAGAGCGGCAAAAGTTGGGTGACGAGGCGAGTGCATTTGGAGAACTCTCGGGAGAAGAGGTGTTTTTTGGTCAAGGTGGAAAGCGACGGGTGACCCCCTGGACCAGAGCATGCCAGGCACTCCTGTCTTCCACTGCCTCCCGCAGTTTGGTCAAACTCAGGCTGGTCTCTTCGAGAACACTGTCCCACCATCTCGTCCTCTGTCGTCCCCTTCTCCTTGTGCCCTCCATCTTTCCCAACATCAGGGTCTTTTCCAGGGAGTCTTCTCTTCTCATGAGGTGGCCAAAGTCTTGGAGCCTCAGCTTCAGGATCTGTCCTTCCAGTGAGCACTCAGGGCTGATTTCCTTCAGAATGGAGAGGTTTGATCTTCTTGCAGTCCATGGGACTCTCAAGAGTCTCCTCCAGCACCATAATTCAAAAGCATCCATTCTTCGGCGATCAGCCTTCTTTATGGTCCAGCTCTCACTTCCATACATCACTACTGGGAAAACCATGGCTTTAACTATATGGACCTTTGTTGGGAAGGTGATGTCTCTGCTTTTTAAGATGCTGTCTAGGTTTGTCATTGCCTTTCTCCCAAGAATCAGGCGTCTTTTAATTTCCTGGCTGCTGTCACCATCTGCAGTGATCATGGACCCCAAGAAAGTAAAATCTCTCACTGCCTCCATTTCTTCCCCTTCTATTTGCCAGGAGGTGATGGGACCAGTGGCCATGATCTTCGTTTTTTTGATGTTGAGTGTATGTTTTGAATAAACCTACACAGATTTATTATTGGCTCTCCTTATATTCTTACACATTGCGGGCATTAACGAGGATTTTCTCGCTCCTGGGAATCACACTTGACCAGACCTTGCTTGGGCAGCATGATAAAAACCCACTGGGGCTTTTGAGGAGCGGCAGAGAAGCAATGTGTCTGGGTCTCAAATGAGCTGGCAGGCTCTAAAAGGTCCACGTGAGTCACAGGTCTATAATTGCTGCCCCAGGTGGCCAGGGGAATGAGATGGGTGCCCACCAGTGGTGTCCGCTAGGACGGCCGCAGCTCAGAACACTCACCCACCTCCCAGCCTATTCCTCAGTCTCCCCCTCGGAAGAAGCGAAGGGGCCACTGCTTCTCTCCAGCGCATGACCTGCTTCAGAGCGTCTGGAGCACAAACTGTTCTTGGGGGCTGTGCATGCTATGTCTTACTCACAAGTCCCTTTTTGAGGCCAGGTGCTCTGGGACAGAACCTCATCGGCTATATCGAGCGAGGAGCGTGGCCTCTGGCCAGCCCATCGCCCAAGCCAGAGAATGAAATGTGTGTGTGTATTTGGGGTGGAGAGGAGGAGGGAAAAGAAGGGGCGAGTTTTAGGGGGTTTGCGAGGGACGCGGGTGGTGCTGTGGGTTAAACCCCTGAGCCTAGGACTTGCTGATCAGAAGGTCGGCAGTTCGAATCCCCGGGACAGGGTGAGCTCCCGTTGCTCGGTCCCTGCTCCTGCCAACCTAGCCGTTCGAAAGTACCTCAAAGTGCATGTAGATAAATAGGTACCGCTCCGGCGGGAAGGTAAACGGCGTTTCCGTGCGCTGCTCTGGTTGGCCAGAAGCGGCTTAGTCCTGCTGGCCACATGACCCGGAAGCAGTACGCCGGCTCCCTCGGTCAGTAAAGCGAGATGAGTGCCGCAACCCCAGAGTCGGCCACGAACCAGAGCAGCACACGGAAACGCCATTTACCTTCCCACCGGAGCGGTACCTATTTATCTACTTTGACGTGCTTTTGAACTGTTGGGTTGGCAGGAGCAGGACTGATGTGTAAATCTGGTGACTGTCTCGGGGGAAAAGGGGACGTCTGGTAACCTTAGACTAAACAACAAATACTATTTGGGCAACAACATTCAGCCCCAAACTGGCAATTGCAGGGTGCGCAAGTTCGTTGCACTGCGGGGTCTCACACAACAAAGGATCCATTTCTTAATGGAATCGGGCTTTTTCCCAGCAAGGAAGGCAACGAAAAAATGCACTGCAAAGTGTGGGATGACACCGTCATATTTGCAACTCCATCTAACTTCCCTGCAAACGAATCACAGTAGATGTTGATGTTGTCTGATCTCCCTCCAGACCAATCAGGATCAATTTACTGTACGTTTTTGGGGGCTGGTCGTTTGCCCACTCTGCTTTTCGACACGTCCTAATGCAGTGCAACCCTTCACATCAGTCATGTGCTAATAAGGCTTGAGAAAGCTAAGGATTTGCTTGCCAAAAGCTGCCGCCACTCATGGTTAGGTGGAAGCGCGATGAATCTTTGCCTAAATGTGAATGCGTGGAACCCCTCTTATTAGAGGAACTCAGAGGGGAAATGGCTGTAAGAGGAACAAGGTCAACAAATGTTGCAAAAGGTTCTTCTTCTTCTCTTTGGCAATTTCTCATAGCCGAGTAAGAATGTCTGAGTAAGATTGCCACACGCTGATTCCCGGACCGTCCACGGGCCGGATTGAGAAGGCGATTGGGCCGGATCCGGCCCCCGGGCCTTAGGTTGCCTACCCCTGCTCTTGACTCAGGGTCCCTTAAGAGTTATGAGTCTACAATTCTAAGTCTCTTTGTAAGACAATGGCCTAGGCTGCCCAATTAAGTGTCCTCATCAGCATCCCAGAAGAACCAGCCAGGTTGCAGGAGCTACAACTAAGTGAGGGAGACTTCACCTTGCTGCTAGGCAGGAGAACAAAAACAGAGATTTATGCATGAGCTGAGCTGAAAGCAGCCTGGAAGGTGGATCCACAGAGCTCTCCTTGCTCTGTGCTGGATCCAAAGGTGTGACTGAAGGAGAGAAGCGAGTTGTGTTCGGGGGTTAATGCTGCGAGCCCCTCTGTCCTATGCTTCTTCTTTGGCAATCCCTCATAGCTGAGTAAGATTGTCTTCCATAAACACGGTTTTAACAATGAGTCCTTAAGGGACAGTGGAGGCCAGTTCTGGACCCACACGTCCTTCCACAGTGGGGACATTGGTTTCCGGGTGGGAGTTGATCACGGTGTGGATTTGCCAAGCGTGCCTCCCTCTTAGCACGCTTCTTCCTTGCGTCCTGAGTTCGAGTGTCTTCAAAGCCCATGACACCTTTGGCAAAGGCTGTTCTCCAACTGGAGCGCTCGCAGGCCAGTATTTCTCAGTTGTTACACTACATTTTTAAAGATTTGCCTTGAGAGAGTCCTTAAACCTCTTCTGTTGACCACCAGCATTACGCTTTCCATTTTTAAGTTCGGAATAGAGGAGTCTCAGTTTGTACATATGCGCAGATAAAACCACATAACCTGAAGACACCACAATCTCCACCTGGAGATCATTCCAAGAAAACCAATATCTGGGTAAGTGCCCAGAACCCCTGAAGTCTCGGAGTTGGGGTGGCACATAACCAGTGGCATAGTGTGGGGGTGAGAGGGGCAACTGCCCTGGGTGCAAAATTCTAAGAGGGCACAACCTGGTACCCCCACAAGAGGCTCCCTCGTTGGGCTGAGTTTCTGGGGCGGTGGGGAGGCAAACGTGCCCAGGCTGGGCCTTTGGGGCTGGGGCAGTACCACCTCCTCCTTGTGGCCTACAAAGGGGTGCCTGCACGCACCCCACCCCTGGGCTGACCGAGAAGTCAAGGCCAATGCACCCAGCAGCAGGGCACCACCCCAGCAACAGCATCACTACATTTCTGAGCACAATTCAAAGTGTTGGTGCTGACCTTTATTTTTTTTTATATAAAATATTTATTGAGATTTTTTAAACAATCAAATAACAGAATAACAGATATAAACAGAAAGAAAAAAGTCAGAATAAGATTATACATAAGAAAAAAAGATAGAAATGTAGAGAAAAAGTAAAAATAGAATGTATATATTAATAAATCTACTTTCCATCATACTTTGGACTTCCTCACATCACCCTTCCCTGCGTTCCCAACCAAATAGTTATGTGCAGCAATTTGTTACCTTACTTCCATTTCTTATTTTATAAATCACCAATATTCAATTTCAACTTTAAAATCTGTTGGTCTTAAA